TTTGTTCTCTTGTTAAATTACTTCCTTTAATTATATTTTTAAACGCTCATTTCTAGCCAGTGACACTATTCCTTCTGTCTTATATTTTTCGGGGTGGGGGCGGCACTCGCAGTGGTTCCTTTACACGTAAGGAGCTATGATAACTCTTCTTCATAAAGGTAGCACAGCTTCTCAAAGGGAGGGGAAAGAGGAATTTGTGCTTAGCTAGTTCTTCAATTGACATTTGAAGAGTTAATATAGTTATCGAAAGAAATGTCAAAGCCTTAAGAATTTATTTGAGCCAAGATTCGAAGCACATGCCTGGAAGCAAGATCTCAGTGGATTGGGGAAAATGCTCTGGAGAATGGCAGTCTTAGGGCTCTTTTTATATATTTAGAATCAAAGGCAAATGTGAGGAAGGTACTAGATTGAGGTGGGAGAAAGCAAGTGGGGAAATCTCTAGGAAGGCTTGGGTAAAAGTGAAATGGAGAGATGCATCCCAGCTAGTGTGCTCAGTGGTTGAGCATCCACCCAGGCGCGGAGAGGTCACTGGTTCTATTCCCCATTGGGGCACATGCCAGGGTTTCCTGCTGGAACCCCACTAGGGGGCGTGCAGGAGGCAACCTATGGACATTTCTCTCTCATCCATGTTTCTCTCTAACTCCTCTCTCTTTCTCAAATAAAAATATAAAAAAAAATAAGAAAAGAAGTGATACATACTGCTTTTACATAGTGGATACAGGATAGTTAACATTTAACAGTTACATGGAAGAGAGATGTTATGTGGGTAACAGGGTAACAGGGAGTTTCAGTGTTGTACTCTTCGACTAGTGGGTCCTTTTGAAGAGTCTGGAAGCAAAAATTGCTGACATGCCAAAAACAGTTTCTGCTAGATATGCAAGAACAATAGATAGGGCTCCCTTAATATAAGTTAACCTTTTAGGAAGGAAGCTATAGTTCTGGGACATGACTGCTCACCATGATCTGCCCAGTTAAGCTAATATTCAGACTATCCTGTTTGGTTACTTTTGGTCAGGCCCTCTTTTTATTTTCATAATTATAATTATTATATCGATAGATCAAAATATCTAAGTGCAGATATGTGAAATAATTGTCATTTTCCATTAACTGTGAGCTTAGTGTGACTGCCCTTTACTCTGTTAATGTACTTCAGATCGTTCTAATCCCCTAATTTGATTCATCTTTATCCATAAATCACTGGCTGAACCGTAGCAGGCCCAGTGACGGGAGGTATGCTTGCTGCCTACTCCTGGTTTGGTGACCAAGCTGAGGGCCCTTCGAACTTGTGTTTGCCTGGGCTGTGCCCGGTTCCCTCTGCAGGACGCTCAGTGTGGAGTTTGTAACCTGGTCTGGCCTAATGAGGGTGTGAGTGCTGACAGGATGGAGAGATGTCACAGCTTCTTTTCTTTTATTTCAGGTGCCTTCTCCAAGAGGGGCAGTGGGCAAGGAGAAATGGCCCCAGTGTTGCTACCAGCCCAGGATCAGGTGAGGAAGGTTCCTGAACACCTTTTGGGTTCAGAGGTTCAAGAAACTGCTTCGTTCATTGTTGAGCTTCCCCAGGCAGTAAGCCCACAGAGGGATCAGAGGGCCTGGCAGGTGAGGAATTCTGGAAGGCAGGTGTTTTCCTTGTCTCAGGGCCAGTCGCATTGTGAGTTCTGCACTTAACAGTTACTTGTTGGCTAGGAACTGAATGGGCCCTCAGTCCCATGCCACTGTCACACTCAGAGTTTCGTGAGGGACGCGGGGTGTTTTGCTCTATGGAGGGAGAAGACATGGAAGAGTCAAATAATTCCTCACAGCACCAGGGATTCACAGAGAAAAGACACGGCATTTGCCTTTCCAGTCAACTCTAGCAGTATATGGTAAGGGTCCAGGTGGTTTTCTAGGAAGATCTGATAAAGAAGACCTGTGCATCAGCAGGTATGGTCAGGGATACATACATACTCGAGTAGTGGGCGATTTTGGACTGACAAGCAATACTGAGCTCATTTAGATGGTGAAAGTGAAAGAGGTCATAACTGTTAACGTAAAAACATTCAAACCTTTGAAGAACCATTGTGGGTTTATTTTAACCAAACCTGTAAAGATTTTTTTGTGAGTTTGAGTTGACAATTTCCGGTGTAAGGTTCGAAGCACAGGAAACAGGAGTTGGAGACCAAGGCATGTTAGAGAAGGAGGTTTATTCCGCACTAACCAGTGGGATTCATTACAGAGGAGGGTAGAAAAACAGGACCAGAGGAGAAGGAGGAGAAGAAGGAGGGACCCAGTTGGGCTGACTCACAGACTGGGAGAGCAGCAGCACTTGCAGTGGTGAAGATGCTTTTTGAGAGGAGGAACTGGAAGGAGTGGGCCCCAGGGTACTTGGCACGCACTGATTGGTGGTTCAATGTCTTGGGGATGTTCCAGTGGCAGATGCCCACCAGTTGGGGGAAGGGAGGATCTATCAGCGGAGAAGCAGTATCCCAACAGTTTGGGATAATGCTGCAGAGAATGGCGGTTTCTTCATCTATTTTTATACATTGCAGTCAATGGAGGGGACCTAGGTGGGTTACATGAAATCCATTGGTGATAGATTAGAGAGACAGGAGAAAGCAAAGAGGGGGTTTGGATAAGAGTAAAATAATAGACACATACTTAGGTGGGTGCAGGATAGCCTACAGTCAACAATTAAGGTGATAACAATAACAAGGAAGGAATTTGTGGTATCTGTCCTGCTGCCAAGGCGCATTAGGTTGTGCCCTAAGGGGTCCGGAAAAAGGGAAGTTACAAGTTACTCAGACATTTCAAGGATATGCTATTATAGATGCAAAAAGACAATAGGCTCAGTTTAGGTAAAAATTGACCTTGTCAGGGAAAATATCAGCCTAGGGCATGACTATCCGCCATAACTGCTTTTAGTTAAAGTTTAATTTCAGACCATCCTTTGTGGTTACTTTAGGTCTTTAAGTTTGCAAGACTGCCAGGCAGGCCTTCCCTGAGCTTGACAAGTTAGCCTGTGGCCTAAACTACCCCCTACCCCACCCCCATCCACATGACTCTGGCAGGTTTGAGGAAGTGAGCAAGCCTTCCCTGAGGAGGGAAGCATCTGGTCCACGGTGATTTCTTCCCTTCTTTGACCATCATGACACTTAGGGAAATAGAATTAAAAACATAATCTCTTTCCAACCTAGAAAACCTCTCTACAAAAGTAGAAGAGAAAGAAAGCACTCTTGTTGACTAAATGTTAAGTCCTCTTGTTCAGTAGGTGTAAGAATGTGGTGTGTGAAAGATGAAACAGGGGCCGGAGACCGGGATGCCAGGGCACAGGCTTTATTGGAGGAGAGGACCACTGCCGGCTGCTTCCAGAGGGGTAAGAGGAAGAGTCTGGATGCAGGCACCTTTTAAGGGGAGAAAAGAGAAGGGACAGGGCTTAGGGCACTCTGCACATGCTGATTGGTGGTTTCATGTAAGTCACATGATTAGGGACCTAGGGACTTAGGAATCGGGGGGCTTATGGTATTTGGCAGGTGCTGATTGGTGGTTCAATGTACAGTCCATATAAGGTGCCTGGTTAGGTGCTCAGGAATGTCCGGCTGCAGGTGGAGTTTACGTCATTCTCTGTCCATCAGTTGGAGGAAGGGAGGATGTATCATTATGCATCACAGATAATCCACTAAAGAGATTGCAGAGATAGAAAGTTCCTTAGATGAGTGGATTCAACCCAGTTTTGACTTTGGCACATTTGTCAGGTGAAAAGTTAGCCCATCTCTCAGGAAACAGAGCTTGGCACATTCAAAGAGATGGTTACTATGTCCTTAAGGAACCTTTCCTGAGTGGTGAGGCTTATTTAGCCATTAAAAAGGTTGACTTACAATTGGGAAGGACTGAGAATGAAATTCAGGAAGTAAACAGGGCCGGGAGCAGGCTACTCTCTGGGTTTCCAACAGCCTCTTCTTCGTAATTTGTGTTTGTCCTTACAGGTCAGAATATTCCTGGCCTGTGACTTCCTTCTTGGACTTTGGAGGATGGTAAAGAGAAGGCAGATTGTGAACTAACATTATACCTTTAGAAATATGTCCTAAGGAAATAAGCTTTGCATACTTTTCTGGTGATGCTCAGGGATGCTCACGCCAGCATTTTTTGAGTTACTAAGTGGGAATAAAGTAAATGTTCAACAGTAGATTAGTTATGTGAACGGATTGATCTGTAAAGTGAAGTGATGGACAGCAAATAAAACAGGTTGAGAGAGATAGTTATCTGTATAAAATATCATTTTTGTTTAAATTTAAAGCTATATTAGCATGTAAAAAATCTGAAAGGATACACAAGATGAAGTTAACAAAACTTGTTTCTGGTGGTAGAAAGTTAGATTAACATTTCTTTTTTTTTCTCTCTCACCAATTGATCTAAGTTGCCTTTAAAAAAGATTTTTAATAAGAAAAGGGGCCACTAATTTAAAAAAGGTGAGTGGTCCAGTGACGCTGGAGAGAGGTGGACAGAAGCCTCTGTGGTGGACAGGGAGGGTTCCAACTGCAGCCTTCTCACCGGGCTCTTACTGAAAGGTTAATGCAGCCTACCAGCCTGGGGCCCTCTCCTGACAAAGCCATGCTTGAGGCATTTTCAGAGCTTTCCCTCCCCAGGGCATAGAGGTAGCCCCAGTGGTGACAGTCCAGCCACACCTTCTCCTCTGGAGTGAGTGTGCTGGAGCCTCCTAAAACCTGACTCTGATACTCATCTGTACAATGAGAGTTTGGTCTTGAAAATTATTTATTTCCATGTCTGAAGCTCTGTGTTTCAATCATTCTGGTTTTGTTTAATGACTTCAAGTTATGTTTGGTTGCTGTGCTTCAGTTTCTGAGAGCACAGGGTTCATTCACAGTAGGTATGTTATAAATACCAGTATGTGCTCAATAATTAAGGGGTGGTCAAGATGTATTTGGCTTGAAATGCTCAGGACCCCGAGAGGTGACAGGATTGCTGCTCAGTCATCGTCTTGTGGGGATGGCCCTGGGTGAGCAGAAATGGGTTTGCCATTACAACAGTCTGTGACATTCAGGGATGTGGCCGTGTCCTTCAGCCGGGATGAGTGGCTGTGCCTGGACTCCACACAGAGAACCTTGTACCGGGAGGTGATGATGGAGAACTTCAACATCCCGATCTCTCTGGGTAAGGACCTTGTCATGTGATGCGGAATCTGCTGGGGGGAGCATCTTGGTGCTCTCTCCAAAGAGAACATGGAGAGCTTGGCCAGGCTCAGCCCACAACCCCAATAGGTGGGCTTTGAGAGTGGCAGTTGCTATTCCCCTCAGCTGCTGCCAAGGTTTCAGCTTGAATGAGTTGTTGATGGATCAGTCCTGGCTCCTTCCTCATGGAAAATACTTTCCCTGAGTTCCTCAGCCCACATACATATTGGTTTCTTCAGACCCTTCCTACCCAGGCATATTTTTATACTGTCTCTTTCTCTTGCTCTTCCTTTCCTAAGGTTCAAAGCTTATATTTGTTAGTGATCCTTGTATATTTTTTATTACTTTTATTTATTCCCAATGCAAGGGATATTTACATGTTTTGTTTATTTTAGGATGGGAGAGCTTGTTTGAAACCACAGTTTCCAAAGAAGAATACCAGGAAGTAATGAATAAACTCATAGGTGATGATACTTTTGACTTCAAGTTGGGGAAAACCTACATAACTGAAAAGAAGCTAGAGAAACGCAGGGCAAAAAGAACAAACCTTTTAAGAATGTCTCAGTTACCATAAAAAAAACCTACACAAAAGAGAGGAGCTTGATAGGTAGTTAACTTCAGAAAAATCTTAGTCTAAAATCATCACTGTTTCCAGAGGAAGGAAATCCCATTTACAGCATTATTCAGTTCTATTTAAACAACTGGGAGTCAATACAGTACGAAAATGTTACAAATGTAACGTGTGGAAAAATCTTCCACCATAGTTCTTCTCTGAGTATACATCAGAGAATCCACACTGGAGAGAAGCTCTATAAATGTAAGGAATGTAGGAAAGCTTTCAGCCAAAGTTCATCTCTAACTCAGCATGTAAGAGTTCATACTGGAGAGAAACTTTACATATGTAGTCTCTGTGAAAAGCATTCAGCTTCACTACATCTCTCATTGGACATCAGAGAATGCATACTGGAGAGAAACCATGTAAATGTAATATGGAAAAACATTTAAAGGTAGTTCATCCCTTAACAATCACCAGCGAATTCATACTGGAGAAAAACCCTATAAGTGTAATGAATGTGAGAGAGCCTTTAGCCAGTGCTCATCACTTATTCAACATCATAGAATTCATACTGGAGAGAAACCATATGAATGTAGTCAGTGTGGGAAATCCTTTACTTCCATATCACAGCTAAGTAGACACCATAGAATTCATACTGGAGAGAAACCCTTTAATTGTTATGAGTGTGGTAAAGTGTTCAGTTACCACTCAGCTCTTATTATACATCAGAGAATTCACACAGGTGAAAAACCTTATTCATGTAAAGAATGTGTGAAAGCCTTCAGCCAAAGCTCAGCTCTTATACAACATCATAGAATTCATACTGGAGAAAAGCCCTACAAATGTAATCAATGTGGAAAAAGTTTCTCCTGAGTTTCACGGCTTAATATACATAATAGAACCCATACTGGAGAGAAACCATATAATTGTAAAGAATGTGGAAAAGCCTTCAGTTCCCACTCAGCAGTTAATACTCATCGAAAAATTCACACTGGAGAGAAACCTTATAAATGTAATGACTGTGAAAAGGCCTTCAACCAAAGCTCAGCCCTAATTCAGCACTAGAGAATTCATACTGGAGAGAAACCATTTGATTGTAAAGTGTGTAGAAAAGCTTTCAGACAAAGTTCATCATTTATGACACATATGAGAATTCATACAGGAGAAAAGCCTTATAAATGTAAGGAATGTGGAAAAGCTTTTAGAGCTCATCCCTTACTAATCATCAGAGAACTCACACTGGAGAAAAACTATAGGCCTGTGGAAAATCTTCCAATTGAAGTTCATTTCATTCTGAATATCAGAGTTCACACTGGAGAGAAAGTGGTAAAAAGTACTTAAACTTCAGAATTTAGACCTCATCAAATATCAGAGATTTCATAATGCAGGATAACCATAGGAATATTAAGAAAGCATCTATAAAAATATTTTTTCATATGTTCCTAATTTATTATTGACTATGAAAAAGAGGATTTGTAACATCAAAGGGTCACTATTTCTTTTTCTTTTGGTGATAACAGCCACCACTTTCACAAGCATCATTGGGAAACATGTTGACATATATAAAAATGCAGCCAGAAAATATAAATTTCAGATTAATTTGGGATTTTTTATTGGAAATTATATGAAAGTGTTATATAAGTAAGTTGTACTACCAGGTATACTGGTTAATAATGCAGATTTTTTTTAATAGATGGAGTTACACATATGTTGTTATATATGTAGTTTGATATGTATGCTGTTGTATTAACAGCAAGCTTCAAAACTTCATATGTTAAGTTTTCTGAAGGTGTTAACATCATAGACATTTTTCCATTTAAAAATGTCAAATTTAATGCCAAAAAAGCATTTGCAGGAAGTTTTAATTCATTACTTTATTTTGAAGAAAAGTGCTACTGAAAATTATCGTATACTTCGGGAAGCTTATGGTGAATAGGCTCTATCTCAAGATACTTGTGAACACTGGTTTAAACACTTTAAAAGTAATTATTTCTATGTGAAATACCAAGAACTTCCAGGTCAACTGAAAAAGTTTGAAGACCAACAATTACAAGCATTATTGGATGAAGATGCATGCCAAACTAAAAAACAACTTGCAGAAAGATTAAATGTTGCACAGCAAACAATTTCCGATCACTTACTAGCAATAGGAAAGATTTTAAAGGAAGGAAAATGGGTGCCAAATCAACTGGACAAAAGACAAATGGGAAACAGAAAAGTCATCAGTAAAATGTTGCTTCAGTGGCATGAAAGAAAGTCTTTTTTTGCATCGAATTGTGACTGGGGATGGAAAGTGGATTTATTTTTAGAATCCCAAATGCACAAAATCATGGGTTGATCCAGGTCAACCATCAACATCGACTACAAGGCCAAATTGCTTCAGATAGAAGACAATGCTCTGCATTTGGTGAGATCAGGAAGGTATAGTGTATTATGAGCTAAAACCAGGTGAAACCGTTAATACTGATCACTACCAACAATAAATAATTTATTTGAATGATGCTTTGATCGTGAAATGACCAAAATGTGCCAGCAGACACGGCAAAGTAATTTTGCTTCATGATAACGCACCACCACACACTTCAAAACCAGTTAAAGACACTTTAAAAGATCTTGCCTGGAAATTATTCACCAGACCCTGCTCCTTCAGATTACCACTTGTTCCAATTGATGGCATACACACTTTCTGACTTTCTGAGCAGCACTTCAAAATGTACAAAGAAGTGGAAAATTGGGTGTCTGAATGGTTTGCCTCAAAACAAGAAATGTTCTATTGGGAAGGTATCCACAAATTACCTGAAAGATGCTAGCAATTGACATTACTTTGAATAAAGCACTTTTGATGTTTGTTTCTCTTGAAATTATTGTGTTTTCTTTTATTACAAATCCGCATTATTAACGGGTACATCTGGTAAGAAGACGGTTTTGGAGGAGAAATGGAAGCAGGTGTATCTATTTCACTGTAAAACTTTGTTTTTTTTATTTATTTTTTATTTAAAAGCAAATTCTGTACTTGCCGCTTGTTACAACTTTTAGGTTGTTTCTCCTCTGCTTTCTAAGTTATCCACTTGAAAAGAAAATTTACAAAGTGATTTTTCTAAAGTGACTTTATTTTAAATCACAAAGTGCATAACATTTCACTTGTTTTTCTCATAAACTGATTACCTTTGCTGTATTAAGTTGAAAAGGGTTAATAAGACAGCTACTGCTTTTGCAAGTTAATTTACAACTCTTGTCCCCCCAGGCTGTGCCTGTTTCCTGAGCTCTCTGATCATCAGCCACTGGGACTCAGGTTATCCTCCCTCAAATTAAAGTGAACAAGGTTACTTTCACCCCCATCACATAGCACTCACTCCCTATGCTCTGCAGGTCACTAGAAAAAATCAGGTTCTAAGGTCAGGTGCTTCTTTCTACAAAAATGGACTATTCTATCCTTCAATAAGTTAGTCTACTTAAGCATTTCTGAAATGTAAATAATTTGAGCAGTTATGTCACAACAGACTAAAATTATTGAACTTGACAGAAGCCAAAGTCATCTAGTTTTGCCCAGTTTGTCAGGAACAGGAAGCACTCAAAGACTGAAATATCCATTTGTTTAAAAAAACTCACACGGAAAAAGTGCTGTTGGAGGTAGAGTGTGAGCAAAGCAGAAACCATTGAATTCACTTTTTGCCTCCTGGGACTATTGGACACCATTGTTTTAGACTTGTGAGGAACAAACTTTTCTGAGTCATTAAATGCCCCACCTGCACCTTTCCCCACAACCATTATTTAAATTCTCTAATTACTGAGAAAATTTCTAGGAAAATATAACTTCCCTGTCTTAATCTGTTTGAACTGCTGGAACTAAGTATCACAGATTGGGTGGTTTATAAACAATTTTATTCTCACTGTTGAAGGCTGCTAAGTCCAAGATCAAGGAACTAGCATGTTTGTGTTCTGGTGGAGACACTCTACCAGCTTTAAAGCCAATGCCTTTTGTTCTCATATGGTGGATGGGATAATGTGGGACCTCTTAAATGGACACTAATCACATTCATGAGGGCTCCACCCTCTTGATAATCACCTCCCAAAGGTTCTGTTTTCTAATGTCATTGCCTGGATTTCAACATACAGGTTTTGTGGGGACACAGACTTTTAAATCCTAACATTCCTCAAGTTTTGATAGCCTTAAAATCAGCAAAAACAAGAACAAAACTGAATTAAATCTCACAAATGTTAGGCCCAGTTATTTTTAAGGTGAGGTCTATCAAACTTTCAATAACAGAACATGTAAGTCTTATACAAAGGCTTTCAGAGGAGATGATATATCAGCACAACGATTCTAATAAACTCATTACCTAAATCAGACATAGAAACATAAAGGAAAATTACTCATCATTATCACCCATGAACAGAAGTGTAAAAGTCCCAAATAGCATTAGCATGGTTTAATAGGTCATGATAAATGTAGGGTTTTAAAAAATGAGAATACATGGTTTATTTAACATTTAAAAACTTACAGATACTATGCACCTCCTTAACAGATTAAAGGAGAGAAATCTGTATGCTCATCAAATGCAGAAAAAGCAGCCAAAATTCTCAGCACTCAATCATGTTAAAGCTTAAGCAATAGAAAGGAAGTTCCTTAACTTAGTAAAAAGGTATTTACAAAAAACCTGCTGAAGAAAATGGGAAAATTTTAGTATTCATGACAACAAATATGAAAAAAGAATGAACTATTCAGTAATGGCTCAAAAAGACAAATGATTCTCATGAAAGAAAGAAAAAAAAAAAAGATGCCTATCCTCACCATAACACATAAAAGGCAAAACTATGACCTTGGAAGAATATGTAAGAAAGAACTTTATGACCTAAAAGTAGGAAAGAATTTTTTAAACAGGAAACAAGTAAGTTATATTAATATTTTACATATTTGATCACATTAAAATAATCATCTGGAAAATTTGAAACAAGACAACCTAGTAGAAGAAAAGTGTTCTGAATACATGACTGCTTATTTCACAGAAGAAATACATATTTCCAAAAATTAAAAAATGCTTAACTTCATTAGTACTTAAAAATACATATAGGCATGATTTTATAAGTACATATGACAAAAAATTAAGATGGTTGACAACAATGAGTTTTGGAATGTATAGAATAACACATTCATACTCTAATAGTGGGAGTATAAATTGATTTAAATCATTGACATCTTGTAAGGTGGTCCATGTGCATGTCATAAAACAAAAGTTCTATTTATATATGCTAGATAAATATTTGCATATGAGCCCAAAGAGACATGTATACAAGTATTCTTAGCACTGACCATAATAGCAAATATTTGAAAGTAGTCAGAATGTCCATTAATAAGAGAATGGATAAATTTTGGAATATTAACACAGTTGAATGTAATAAAAATGAATGAATCAAAGCTACATGCAAAACATGAATTTTAAAACATACTAATGAGTTTTAAAAGGTATAGGAAGCTACGCATAGTATGATACTATTTTTTCAAAATTTATACTTAATGATTTATAAATATGAAGAAATTAAAAACAGCAAGTGATTAAATGAGAGGTATTCTAGTTATCTTTCTACTATCCTAGCTAGACTATCTAATAACAACTCACTTCAAAATTTTGTGGCTTGAAACAATTGATTGGTATCTGTCTTGGTTCCATGTTTGGGCTCAGCTGAGCAATTCTTGGTGTCTCTAATGCATTTACAGTCAAATGGCAGCTGGGACTGATTTCCAAGATCTCTGGCAGTTGATGATAGCTGACTAAGAGCTTATTTGGGCTTCTCCATAGAAGGGTGGCTGACAGTGACTCAAGAGCAAGCATTCTAAGAGACTTATGGACAAGTTGCAAATTTTATAACTCAGTTTTGGAAGTCATACAGCATTAATTCTTGTATTCCATTGGTCAATAATGATTCACAGATTTGGCCCAGATTCAAAGGGAGATGGTATAAGGGTTGAGTGACTACCTGGGGACATGGTTCATTGGGGAATCATCTTTGGAGACGAGTTTCCACTTCAACACAAAAGTTGGGATGGTGATTACCTCTGGGTGTGGGGCAAGGAAACGACCTCTTCTAGCACGTTCACTACTCTAGGTTTTCACCACCCTAATCTCTTTTCCATGGGTTAGGCATATATGCATACAAGTTCTTTGGTTGATTGTTTCCCACCCACCATCCCTGCCTTCCCTCTGAAATTCGATAGTCTGTTCCATGCTTTTTTGCCTCTGGATCTATTTTGTACATCAGTTTATTTTGTTCAGTAGATTCCACTTATGAGTGAGATCATGTGATACTTATCTTTCTCTGATTGGCTTATTTTGCTTAGCTTAATATTCTCCAGGCCCATCGACGGTGTTGTAAATGGTAAGAGTTTTTTCTTTTCTTTTTTCTTTTCCATAGCTGCATAGTATCCCATTGTGTAAATGTACCACAGCTTTTTAATCCGCTCATCTGCTGATGGGCATTTGGTCTGTTTCCAAATCTTAGTTATTGCAAATTGTACTACTGTGAAAATAGGGGTGCATATATTCTTTCTGATTGTTTTTTTTAGGATTCTTAGAATATATTCCCAGGAGTGGGATTACTGGGTCAAATTGAAATTCCATTTTTAATTTTTTTAGGAAAAAATGAATTTTTTGAGGAAAAAATTTTCCACAGGCTGCAGCAGTCTGCATTACTGCAAGCAGTGTATTAGGATCCCTTTCCTCCACATCTTCGCCAACACTTGTCATTTGTTGATGATAGCCACTCTGACAAGTGTGAGGTGATACCTCATTGTAGTTTTAATTTGCATGTCTTGGATGATTAGTGACTTTGAGCACTTTTTCATATGTCTCTTTTTAATATATCCACTTTGGAGAGTGTCTATTTAGGTCATTTGCCCATATTTTAATTGAATTGTTAGTCTCCCTTTTGTTAAGTTGCATGAGTTCCCTATATAGTACTTAGAAAATTAACCCCTTATCAGATGAATAATTGGTAAATATGTTCTCCCATGCAGTGGGCTGACTTTTCATTTTGTTGATGGTTTCATTTTGCTGTGCATATGCTTTTGATTTTGATATAGTCTCATTTGTTTACTTTTCTCCATAGTTTCCTTTGCTCTAGGGCAGTGGTTGGCAAACTCATTAATCAACAAAGCCAAATATCAACAGTACAATGATTGAAATTTCTTTTGAGAGCCAAATTTTTTAAACTTAAACTTCTTCTAATGCCACTTCTTCAAAATAGACTCGTCCAGGCCTTGGTATTTTGTGGAAGAGCCACACTCAAGGGACCAAAGAGCCGCATGTGGCATGCGACCCATAGTCTGCCAACCACTGGTCCAGGACATGTATAATTTGGGGTGTGCATACAAATGTTGGGGTATAAAATCATGGGCGTATGGATTATGAGTAATATCACAAGACTGAAGATACAACTCTGTGGAACCATGAGATATAGAGGGTAAGTTACTGGCCACGTGGCCTCTACGGCAGGGTGTGACCATGGCTTGGCTAGTCTGTGCCTGTGAGACAGAGACTTACACAGTGCACAGAGGAGAGGTTGTGGCCAGAACCTCTGCAATTAGCTCCTCTTCGCCATCTGTCCACATCTTCAGAAAGCACAGATTGGGTTTTCCTTACTGCTTCCTGTGTAATCCAGACCTGTTTTCTAAAAGAACCTCTCTGAGCTATCTGGTTATGAATAACCTTTTCAAACATTTCATCTCAGCCAGTTCTGCTTCGTCAAGTGACCTTCCTCCCCTACTCTAAACACACACTGCCTGTTCTCTGTTCTAAAGGACAACTCTACTATGAAAACAGAGTCCAAACAGATTACAGTGAACAAGAGGAGAAATCTTGTGCATCCCAAAGCCACCTGCAGGCCCCTTCCAAACTAGTATGATTTCTTGGTACATGTTGTTGGCCTCCTTCCTGGCTGGGGAATTTTACACTCTTCAGTGTTCCTTTTCCCCAACACCTGTATCAAAGAGGGCCAGAGCAAATGAACTTGTCTTTTATAAGCAGGGTTACCAAATTAAAACACAGGATTCTCAGTTAAATTTGAATTTCAGAGAAACAACAAACGTTTTTAGTATAAAAATGGAACATACACTAAATATTATTTGTTATTCTCTGAAATTCAAGTTTAACACAACCTGGGGTATTTTTCCAGGAAGCCCTAACTACAGCAGAGATAGAATCGGAGAAGAGGAGGTGTTTGGAGCGTCTTCGTCTCTCTGAACTAAAGGTTTCCTTTGGAGCTGTGGGCTTACTCCAGACACCTGGCAAGCTAACTCCATGGGCAGCTGGGCGAGGGATAAGTTCCTCTGGCTGCCTCTCACCCTGTACTGGTCTCCTCACCTCTTGGCTTTTTGAGGGCAGCACATCCTTCTGTCTGCTCAAGTCCAAGCTGGGCATGTGGACAAGTGCCATTGAGGTAAGAAACAACACAAGCACGATGTGCAAAAACACAGACATTGTGACTTTAATAAGTTACAAAATCAAGGAACCAAATTTTACTATACAGAAGAGAGATGTATTGTTTGCTGTGATCAGTAAGATAAATGTGGTTGGAGTTCAGCACCATGATGATTTTGTGTGTGCTGGCTGCCTGTCACACAGGAGTACACAGTCACCTGATAGACATTGACTATTGAGCACCATTTATACACTCCAAACCAAGGGACAAACAAGCAAAAAGACAAACCAATTTAAAATACAAATGAAATGCTTATATGTGAAATTCCATGGGTTTTCCAAAAGCAATATATCAAGAGCCAGGTGCCAAAATGCTAGCACAATTCTCCCTGTGAACATAAAGTGATCCTCGAGTCCCTCAGCTTTTTTTTTTTTTTTTTTAACTGTGGACAGAGGACACCTGAGTCATACATGGTGTTATGAAACTCAGCTAGAATAGCTGCATGGCCTTCCCTACACACAAGGCAGGAGCTTTGAACACAGGGCTGACCCTGGAAGCTCAGCACTGTTGCTCAGCCTGCTCTCCAACTGTCCCAAGCTCAGCGACTTTCAGTCTCTCAGAGCTGCATGAACACTGCATTCCTTGGGGAGAGACCTCTGAGGACTGCTTACGTCTGGAGCACTCTGGATATATGGTCCAAAGCACTGAGTATGGCATGTGAGGACACGGCCTTGCTGGCCTACAGCTTCCAGAGCACATCTCTCTCCCACTAGCCAAAGACAGGTACCCCTGGCAATGTCCCACCGAGGGCCTCTCTCCAAAGATTTCTGGCCCCAAGATATGCAACCCCACTTTGCTAGGATCTGGGAGTGGATCGTTCTGATTCTGAGGATCCCAGGCCAGGGTTAGTCATCCCAAACTTCCTTTACATTCCAAGACAGACCCAAGCACAAACTGCCCAGTCTTTCAGGTCGTAACTAATACCACAGAGGGACCCATTTCCTAATTATAATGACAGGATTGTGAAAGTACTGTATACCACACCTTACTAAAGAAGAAGTGATACTATGAGAGATGTTCAAAACGTTTCTCCAGTTTAGTTCTTAGGAGTCAGCAAGCTTCTTTAGACATTGCACAGTGTCTGAGCATGCGTGGGGCATGGTGGCAGAAAGAGAGGGCGGCTATACCAGGGGACAGGAAGGCTGGTCATCATCCAGTTGGACAGTTAAGCATTATCCTAGAATGGTCCTCACTATGTCCTATACCCTTTCTTTGTCCCTTAGGCTACACACACACACACACACACACACACACACACACACACTCACACGTACAGATTCACACACACAGACTGCAAAACTCAGTATAAAATTGCTGGCATGGTACTTTCCTGAGCCTCAGTATTTTTGCCCATATAATGGGGACTTAAACAAGAAAGAGTTCTCTAAGATCTGACTGGCAAGAATAAAAAGGCTCTGGAACTCTGTGGGTACGAAAAGCCCAATAATGTTAAGGGAGGCCCAGCTAAGGAGCTAATATGCTCCCCAGGTCTTACAATTTTGGGAAATTGAAGCTGCATGTTAATATCAATGCAGGGAGAGGTAAAAATTAGCCATTATTCTCCCATCCATCTCCACCCACTCCCTTCTTATTTCTCTCTCATTCACATCTTGCTCACAAAGCACCATTCTGCTGAAATAGAAACTGTTACTGTTTGGAAAGAGCAAAAGAGGGCTCTCCCCACCTCCTACCCAATGCCTCTCATCAGAGGACATATCTGGCAGTTCCCTATTGAAACTTTTAAGGGATGACAGTGGGGGCAGGGCTGGGGGCTGGAAGGCTCCAATAGGGCAGGCCTATCCCCCACAAGCATACCCAAGCCTAAAAAGTCCATTGTGGGTCCCTGAGGCATGACCATCCTGGTGGCAGCACTCCTGCCCCTCTGGGAGAGTCAGCCTTGACCACTCACTGGACTTCCCAGCACACCACATGCCTGTCAGTCTTCCGATGCACTTGTGGAAGGAGAGAGCCCCTTTGGGGAGCTGCAGGGCCAAGGCCAGGCTGGCCAGAGGGGACAAGGAAGGTCAGGGTTCATGGAGAGGAGAGAGACCTGAGAGTTCACTCCACTGAATTCTCATCTTGCAGAAAACATGACCCCCTGTTTAGATCAATCCTCAAGCCAAAGTTATAGGATTCCAGGGACTTTCCCAGGAAGAAATGGCCAGCGTCACAGTCAGACATGGCCGAGACAGCACAGCTGGTGAGCACCAAATGCGTCAGATGGCTTCCCTAAGTCCTTGATTGGCCAGGCTGTGTCAGGTCATGTCTGAGACCAGAGGCTGCAGCCTGGCGGCCCTGCACCTTAACAGACTCCTGGCCTCCTCCGAGTATTTTGGACTGATCTTTAAAGACAGAATTTTCACACGGAATCTAGACTTCTAGTGAAAAAGCATGTTCTCTGGCAGCAGGCCAGTTCTCACAGAGGCAGTAATGTTGGAGCCACCACACTTGTCCTCACCACCTGCCTGGCATTGGAGGCACCGGAGTCCATGGCCTCAGCTTAGTGACTGGGAAGTTAGTGACTAAATCATTGTTTCCTAAGAGTCCCCACGGGGCTCGTGTCCAAGCCTGGGGATTAGAAGGAAATGCCTGTGTTGTCACCACTGGTTACTGCTCAGAAACTTGAGGCAAATGTCTTCTTTCTCCAAGCTAGTCCTCTTGCCCTCCCTCACTGACATTGCTCTCTACCCCAGACCCAAGCCCAGTTCAGGGTTCAGAACATTCTGGGGCTGGGACACCCATGTGTTCTCCTTGTTGGCCACATGCTCACAACCATCTGTATAATACACACATATCCATTTTCATGTGATTCTCCCTCTGTTCCCTCAAAACTTTTGGGACTCGGGAATTTTGATTTAATCACCATGACACAGGATGGCATCCCATGGAATATCTCTATAAGCAAGGAAAAAAAATGCTATTGATGCTACCTTTCACTTTATTAGAACTATCCGAGGATCTCTTTCTTCCTCATCTCATCCATAAGCTCTTGGATCCGTTGGTTTCTGGTTCTCTCAGATGGGCTTGGCCGTCGAGGGATTAGGTTGGGTGGCTGCACTTCATTGTTCAGGCCATTGATTTTGTAGGGCACGTCAACCGCATTGGTTTCCGGGTGCTCCTTAGTAGCATTGGTGCTGGAGGCATTGAGAGGCACCTCCAGGGGCGGGCCTGGCGCAGGCTGCACCTCCATGACTAGAGTGGGGATTGGGAGGGTGGGCATGAGCTCCTCAATGTCATTATGCTTCCCGGGCGGTGGCCTTGCCCTGTCATCCACGTCAGTGAGGTTGTCATGCAGGTTACAGGACTTGCAGCACAGCTTGTTGTAGCCTGGGATGGAGCAATAGCGAGACAGGACTTCCATCCTGCAGAACATTGACTTGTCGCCTTGGCAGCGGCCCTCTGAAAGAGAAAAGCGGGACAAATAACCGAAGGACGAGATAAGGGAAATGTTGTGTCCCTTTAGGGGGCAGCTTGCTGCAGGAGGCATTTGAAAGAGCCCAGAGACAGTGCACAGGCAAGCGAGCTCACACGGAAAGTCTGTGTGGTTTCCATGTCAGAGGAGTGCCAGGCCTGCCCTGGAGTGCAGCCACGCTGTGAGCAATGGTCCCTCCTCCATGCAGGCCCCAGCTGAGTCTAGATTTTTCACTATCCCTCAGAGTTCAAGGCAGAAATGAGACCTGTCTGTTCTTGGGGGGGGGGGGGGGGGGGTTTAGGGAGAAAGCGGACATGAGGGAGTGATTCCAGCTCATTTTAAAGAGTGGGACTTTGCCATATCTTTACAAGTGACATCCCTGTGGTAATGATTGACTCTACAATAATCTATAATCAGTAACTATATCAAAATCAAACCCCAAAGAACCAATTCCTAAAACCTGATAGAGCAAACCCAGAGCCTTGGCTATGGCCTCACCACACTCCTCACATTTGTTCCAATCCTCAGCAAACTCCCCAGACAATCATTGTTTCTGAAAAGTGCCTAAAGAGAAATTTAAAATACGGGTTTTCTTCCATTTGTTTCAACTTACCTGAGAGCTTTGTGTCCTGCCCCACCACCCCATTGCCCTGTTGCACTGAGCTTCCAGCTATTTCTCAAGCCAACGGCTCCATAACTTGATGCCTTCACATAGGCAAATCCTTCTGCCCAGCACATCCTTTCCTGTCCTTCCTGCCAGGACACTGGTCACCCTCGGTGCAGCTTGCATGGGGAGCCTGACTCTTTCCTTGGAGGCCACATTGTCTCTCTTTCCCCACGCAGCTGCCTTCTCCCTAGCCTAGCTCCACCTCTGTCTGCAGCTAGATTGAGCCAACCCATCCAACTCCTCTTGTTTTCACTCCCCTTCACTCTGTTCTTTTCAAATTCCATTTCCCGCACCACCGCATTTCACATGCAACACACATATTGAGATGATTTACAAAATTCATTCAATATGAAGGAATGAGTACTATCACAGGGGGCATTTGATCTTATAAATTCTTGATGACTAACCTCAATGGGCCCCACTCTGCCTACTTGTTTCTCTGCTCAGACACTCTGCTTTCCACAGAGAGGCTCCCAGCCTTTCCCACACAAACCTGTGCTGTGACCTCCCTTTCCTCACTTTCCTCAGTTGACCTCAGCTCCTACTGAGAGGAAGGGAAGAGGGGAGGAAGGGCAGCCATGGGATGGGAACCACATATATGGATTCACCAACATACAGATTACGCCTCCATCTGCAGCTCTGCCTGCCCATCAAAACTTTCTGCCACAGCAGCCAGGCAGGCCCCTCTACTCAGGACCCCTGGTTCTGATATTCACCTGTTGCGTGGCAACTGCTCAAACCTGTAATTTTTCCAATAGGCTGGTGACCACTTAGTTGGGCACCAACCCCAAACTCCCCAAGGTTTAGATTCATGGTCACAACTTCCTACTAGACACCCCATAACCCCAACAGTCCCTAAGCTGTCTGAGAATTCACACATGCAGCCCAAGCCCACAGCCTCTGCTGGTACCATCTGCCTCCGAGAATGCCTTTCAGGTGCACACTCCATCCAGCCATTTCCAAGTCCATCAGCATCTCCTCCTACACCCTCTCGGATATGTGCACACTCCCCTCCCTCTCACCTCCACACACTGGCACACTGTGGTAAGAGCCACCTTTCTGCCTACTTGTCTACAATCAGAATGGTTTTCAACTGGAAATGTGACCCTGTCATTGTCCTGAGTGAAGCCCCTGCTTTGCCCTTTGTTTTCCGAGTGAAGAGCTGTCCCCAACCCTCTCTGGTTTCCCTCAGGCCTTGGACCTGCTGCTCTGTGGGGCTCCTACTGGCCACAGAGCCTTTGCACATGCTGAGCCTCTCGCCTCCAGCTGCTCTCTTCTCCTCTAGGCTCAGATGAAACACATCTTCCTCAGACAGACATCGCCTACCTCCCTTAGGAGGTTAAACCCCACCGGTGTGCGGTCCCCTCATGCCACGAATCTCCCCTTCCCAGCACTTCATCCCAGTTGGTGAGCTCACATTTAATTGTCAGGTAAAGCGACTAATGTGTGACTTGTTCATTATCCTGTAAGCACCAAATGGCAGAGGCCCAAGCTATAGTTGAATGCCCTCTCTATCCCCAGAGCCTAGAAGAGTGAATGAAAGAACCAGTAAAGGTACAAATGTAAGCAATATAAATGTGAATAACGGAGGAAGTCCAGAACAGGACATTTATGCATTTTACAATAGCAACGTTACAGGCAAGAACACATAGAGGCACCGACCAACCAGAGGTGGGACCAGTTTGGGTTCTGAGCACCTAAGTGGCCAAACCAGGGAGGAAGCATGGCTGGCTTCAGGACCCACAATGCGAAGGGATAAACACAGATCGGCTGGTCAGGAACAGCCCTGGTCTTCCTCACCTTGAGATTGAGTAACAGGCTCACAATGTGAAGGGAGAAAGACAGACAGGTGGTTGAGGGCCGAGGGCTGATTCCAGAAATCAAATTAGAAGACCCAGAGATGTTATTTTCAGGGTTTTAAAACTGATAGATGGAATCGTACACCGATGTCCAAAATATGCGACAGATGAAATTAGAGTAGTCTTGTTGAAACCCATGGGGTGCGAGGGGGTCAGAGTCCCTCTCTCTCCCTTCCCCTTCCCTGGCCACTGCCCCTTTTTGGCAGGTGAGCTGTGTCAAAAGCACTGGTCACAGACCTCAGGGAGACCCACTGGTCAGCTGGGGCCTGGGGAGGGGCAGAGGCACAGGGTGAGCAGGGAGCCTGGCCTGGCAGTGCTGCTGGGAGTGGGGCCACTTCTGCCACACAGCATGCACTCTCCTGTCACCAGAGCCTTTTATTCACTCCTAGCAAGGTTGGTATTAAGCATCTTCCCTCTCCTGCCTCCCACTAGGCTGGAATCCTGAGAAGCAGGCATCACATCAGTCTAAGCCAGGGGTGGGCTAACTACATCCTTGGGCCAAGCCAGTCCCTCTAATTGGTTTGGCAAATGAGGTTTTACTGGTACAGGCATGCCGTTCCTTTATTATCTACAGCTGCTTTCTCACTTCCAAGGCAGAGTTGAGTAGTTGTGGGGGAGACCACATATCCCCCAGTGTTATCTGGCCGTTTAGAGTAAAAGTTTGCTGACTTCTGCTCAGGTACTTGGTAGTGTCCTCAGTGCCCGGGTCAGAGCTTGACACAGAAAGCACTCGGCAACTGCTGCTGAGTGAATGGACACATTGGGATGAGCCGTCCATTTCCCTGACACAAACAGGCTCCTCCCAGGGTGCCTCCCTGCTCCCTGGCTTACATATAGTCTTCTGGGTCTGATTTCCTTTGAATACTGGGCTGCAGTGCTTTAAGTTTTTAAAAATTAAAATTCAGTGAATGTATAAGTAATTGAGAAGGCTACTGGCCAAAAGCTTGGCTCTGCTAATATCAGCCTCGATTAATTTAAAAAGAATCATTACCTATCACCCTTAAAAGGATATGAATGGTTGTGGGTTTTTAAGAAGCATTTCTGAGTGCTGAGATGAAGAAGAAATTATACCACCCAAGGCGGAGAGACATGCACCGAGGCACTGACTGGCCCGGGCTGACAACTTCAGTTTCCCAACCCTCCATCCTCAGCTATTCCCAGCAAGACCTACTGCCTTCCAGCGAACAAGCTGGTGAGAGGAACCCATTGTCACCAGTTGAAGCCTGTGTGCCGTTCCCACAGTCTTGGCTGTATCTGCGTTAATAACCTGTGTGATTATTTGCTTAGTACTTTCCTCCTTTAAGTTAACTCCTTTTTTGACTTACATTTTATTTTAGAAGAAAATTTCACACTACTCTTCATGTCAAACTATTGTGGCAAATAAGGTACAAAGAGAAGTTTTATGTCTTCTTAAGTCAATTTATAAGTCCAATTTTCCTCAAATTCCAGGGAGAGACTCACCAACCCTGTTATGAGTGAAGGCAAAGGCTCAGGGGCCAGGAGAGGGCGTTGCTGTGTGGCCTGAGTTGGAAAGAAATGAGCAAGCGTGAGAGACGCTGAGACCTGTGTGAGTCCCACTTTCTCCCGAGGTGGCCATGTGGGACCATGAGGACGGGGACCCGCTGCTGCTTGGACTCAGGCCACATTTACAGGAACCTGAGTCACCTTTGTCCACCCCACGCCGGAAAAGCCTGGGGTGGAGAGAGCTTTCTTTTCTCTGCACCGTTTCACCTTTCAAAAGATTGTGTGACAAGTTAAAGAAGTGGCAGGCATCCCCCGTCTGCCCACATCTCCATCACCTTGGCTGTCCCCAAGCGCACAGCACTCTGGGGGTTTCTCCCGATTTGTCCAGAAAGGAGACTAAGTGAACGCAGTTCTGTTAGACAGAATTGCCTTGGTCTCCTTGTCTCTCTTGAGCTGGAATTCCTTTCCATGGCCAGAGCCCTGGGCAGCCAGGACTCAGCCACAACTACCAGGATCCCCTACCCTGCAAACTGACACCTGGGGCTTGGCACTGTGCCCCGAAGCCCATGTCCATGACTTATGGTAACCTCATGTCAAACTTTCTCATTGTTTTCCTCCTCCCTGCCTGGGACCCTTCCTAGGAAATGGAGAAGAGAGATACCTACCCACTGGCAGGGCAGCACTCGGGCTCCAGATGCGAGGTCCCCGTGAGACCCTACCGTCCTTTTAGCAAGCTGAATGAATGCACAGGCCCCGTGGCTTCTAAGGGCAGGCGTGACTGAGCACACACAGTTGTGACTATTATAGGCCAGACGTCTAGAGCCACCACTGCCTTGCCCTTCTCCTGACTCAGATTCTCCTTTCCTGAACAGAGAGCTGAGAGTTGCCTGGGGCCAGGGTGGTGGCCTGATGGTGGACCAGCACAGTCTTGGTTCCTGACCTCACATTTCCACTGCATGGCTCAGATCTCCTCTGAGGAGGGGACTGCAAGAGCACCAAACAGGAGGAGAACATAGGTGTCCCTGGAGGTGCTTGTTTAGCATGAGTGACTCAGAACTCAAAGTCACAATGGTGTGTCTTCACAGGAGGGGTGGGGCGTGTCTCCACAGCAGAGCGACCTTAAGCATCTCCTTTGGCAAGAGAAAGGCCAGTAAAGTGCATTGAATCAGAAACCAAGGAACTAATGGACAGAAGGGCACCCGCAGCTCCATGTGCCATCAGCCATAGAGAGGACGAGAAGGAGCCAGCCAACAGTGTGCCGAACCCAAGCACTCGGTTTCACTGAACTTTTATTGAGTTTATTTGTGGGCTGCATGACAGGAAGTCCTTCCAGCGTTAGTAAGAATAAAAGGTTGTTTTCACAGTCACTTTGGCACACACTCACATGGTCTCATTAAAAAAACAACAACACTGGAAAGCAACGACAATGGAACCTATATAATATGCCATAAATACATACAAAACACTAGTAAAATATCCCTGATAAACCAAAGTGCATGTAGACAGAGAGAACAATGCCCAGGAGTGTACGGCACCTTCCCAGAGTCACTCGTGTCACTCGCGTGGCCTAGTCAAAGTTGGAAGTTAACAGTCGTGAGAATTAGTACACACCGAGTATTTACATAACAGTAATCAGTGCCAGGAGGCTGGTGTTGGTGGGGATGCTATCATATTCACGGGTGGACAGCGCTGGGGTGTGCGGTGGGAGTGACGGCGGGAGCGCTACACGGGTCACTGGAAGGGCCAGAATGTTGCCCTCTGGTGTAAGGCAGAGCTGTGGGAGCGCCCACAAGGGCTCCAGCAACAGTCAGCGCCACTGGCCAGTGGGGGTCCTTCCTACACAGGTGGCCGGAGAGTGCGCGGGTCCCTGCACAGGCCAAGGGGCGCAGGGAGCCAGGCCACCTGATTGAGAAAACTTACTCTTGGCCAAAGGTGGATAACTTAGACCATTCCCCCCCCTGGTTCTGCCTCCCACCTGGATCACATCCCACTCTGAAGCTGGAGTTAGCAGCCAATTCTGTTACCTTTCAACTTTAAGGCATTTTCTACATAGTTTTGTCTAAGCAAAAAAGCAATAAAAATTGAGGTAATTCTGTAGTTGTTCACACTGGCAGGTGGCCGCATCCGCATCAGTCTCTCACTCTCTCACGCTCTCCCCCCTGTGGATGGGGCCATGTGTGCATGACAAGGAAAGGCCATTGGAGCTGATGGACAAAGAATGGGAGTGGCAGTGTGTCCCTTTGTCCCACTGGAGGGACACATACCAGGCCTCCTCCGTTTGACCTGAACCTGCCTGCGGAGACAGGGCGTGGGGGCAAGGGCTGTGTGAGTTGGACGCAAAGGCCACAGGAAACAGGCCACAGTCACATGAGTCAGGAGGACACACTCAGCACAGGGTCAGCAGCAGCAGCAGCAACAGCAGCAGCAGAAGAGGCAGCCGGGAAGCCCCCAATAAAACGCTGGACCCTTAGGGCCGGGCTGCCCAGCATGGCAGCACAAACTGCAGGCCTCGAGAGCCCCAGTCTCCGGGTGGTGGGTGCATTTGAAAGGGGATGGGCAGGTTTCCCCTTGACTTCCAACCTACAGCTCCAGCTTGGAGGGATGTGGCCCTGCGGGGCGGTCACCAAGTGGTCACATTCTCACTTTGGCTGCTGGCCCTACCAGCACCATGACAGATCTTTGACCCTTTACAAGCCATCACCAACCAGGTCCCGGACCCCCCACAAGAGGCCAGTGTCGGGGCCTTGCCTCTGGAAGGCTGGCCCTCCCGGCCAGCTGGCCAGCAGCTCCGAAGGAGATGGTCGAGCACAGAGGCCCAGGAGAAAACAGATTCAACTGAGAGCACTCAGCAAGAGTCAGGGGAGTTTTCCATAGAAAGAGAGGAGGGGAGCCCACGGCAAGCTCCACAAGGCGCAGGGCATGCACTGGAGGGCAGAGGCAGAGTTATAAACGGGCCGGTTACTTGACGAAGTCTTCTGGACCTGCGAGTCGGGGTCCGGTCGGGACAGCCACTGAACCACATAGCTCTTCTTAGAGGGGTCGGAGATGTTTCCTAGAGGGAAGAGAAAGGGGCTGCGGCCGCTGGGGCACCAGCCAGGCCTCCCCTGCCCCCTGCTCCATAGACCCTGGTGTCCTTGGGAAGGGCAATGAGGGCCTTCCAGGCTCTCCCTTATGACAGATGGGCCTGTGTCTCTCTCCCCTGCACCAATGCATCCTGGTCTCAGCTATAGAGTAGCTACCACACAGGTGCTGCTGGCCTCCTGACCTGTGTACTGGTCCTCCACACCCAGGCCTGCTCCCCAGCGGAGCACAGACTGCCTGCTCCAGGAATGCAGGAACCCAGTGAACTGGGATCTACCACCCCTGCTCCCAGCTGGGGTGGGCACACCTGACCCCCCTGAGCTCCCTTCTCTGTAGACAGAACTTGTGCGGGGTCCACATCTTGAGCTGTTTCAGGGACCAAAAGAGGTCACAGGTCTAGCATTTGCCAAGGTGTCTAAGTAGCTGGTATTCTGGCTGTTGTCTGTGCAAGGTACAGGGCATGTGTCTTGTATGAGCCCTGTTGTGTGGTCGCTTTGAGTCTGGTTCTAGTTCCCAGACCAACAGGGAGTGTCAGGGAGGCAGGGGCCAGCTGAGTCCATCCCATCCTTCATCAGGGCCTGGCCTGCCTGAAGATGATCTGTTCCTTATATTGCCCACCATGGGAAGGGCCCAGCCCTTGCCTGGGAGGCCTCCACTTCTATTTCAAGGCCAAGGACGCTGAGTCCAGGCCAATTGTGGGATGATCATTTGCCTGGACCAACGCCTGGCCTTGGGGCTTGCACACTGGGGCCCAGGCAGCAGGGCAGCAGAGGGCTTACCGGGGCAGGGGTCCAGCCTACAGATCCTTGCTCTCTCAGGTTGCTCCTCCCGGCAGATCCCAAAGTGGTCGTCCGCGGTGCGGCAGAGAACCGGCCGCTCCTGGGTGCCATTGCCACAGGTCACAGAGCACTGCAGGAGGAGAGTCACCAGTCAGGGGCCACCTCCCATGCTGTAGGTCCCTCACGCATGTGATCCCATAACTCGTATGAAGTGGTGAGGGGCACGGGGAGAGTGTGGACTGCAGGCTGGCCCGGCCTCACCCCAGCCTCGGTGGCTGCCTCAGTCTTGTCTTGTTGGGCTCTTAAGAGGAGACACATACACCTATGTCTCAGAGTGATTGTGAGTTAGAGAGAGCGACTATGCAGGGCCCGGCATTTCTGAGTGCTCTGGCTATGGGCTACCCAAGACCCAGAAAAACCTGCTATGCACGGGGGATCACTGGGAAAGTGCTGAGTCCCAGAGGCTTTGGCAGATGACCATCCCCCTGACCTTTAACCCCTCCATGTTCCCCCAGGCTCTATACTACCAGCACCCTCAATGGCCCTTCCAGCCCCTGTCCCCCTCTGCCTTCTCCATGGGGAGGGGCTGGCAGGAGCAGTCACACCCAGACTCCTGGCTCGGCTCACAGCTGGCCCAGCCGTGAGCAAGGATAATTCTCAAGTCCTTGCCCTGTGTGTGAGAAAGGGTTGACTCGGCAGACATGGTTGCTTAAACCCTTCACAGTCCCGAGAAAGGCCATTTGCAGGACTGGCCCGTGGGCAACTCCAGGGAGCCAAGTCCATGGAATGCTCTGTCTGGTGAGTGTTCTTCATGCTTGGGTTGCTCTGCACCAGCAATGTGATTTCTGCTGAGCACCCACTTTCCTGCTGGGGTCTAGAGCTTCGGTAACTGATATCCTTGGGTGCGGGTGGCCACGGATAGCCCAGGCCTGAAGGACCCTGTCAGTTTTTGACCCTTAGTCCGTTGCCTACGTGACTACTCCCCAGTGAAAACCCTGGGCACCCAGGCTTGGCTGGGCTGCCTGATTGGCAGCACTTGGTGTGTGTTGCTGCACCCACTGCTGGGAGAATTAGGTGCATCCATGCTGAATCCACTGGAAGGAACACCTGGAAGCAGGTGCCGGTTTCCTCTGGCTTTGGCCATGGCCTTTTTCCCTTCCCTAACTGTGCTCTGAGCATTCCTTGTGATAACCCATAACCACGAGTGCACCGACCTCTGAGCCCTGCGATCCTCCCAGTGAATTATGGACCCTGAGGCTGGTCTTGGCTGAGAGCTAGATGTCAGTGCTTACGTCAGCTCAGCTATCTCCCTCAGTCCCCAAGACTTATCACTCCTTCCAGCCCAAGTCTAAGCCCTCATTGGTTCGTGTCCCCTCCTGCCAGCTTAGCTGACCTTCTAGACCACACAGCCACCTTCAGAGAAAAGAACCTGGAGCCCAGGCTGCCCTGAGGACACTTTCCACTGGGTTTCTGAACAGAGCACTGATTACCTGGCACCACTGGTGCCCTGAGACCTCTGGGAGGGGGCCCAGGGCATGAACTGAGTCCAGCAAAGGTGGGATGTCCCAGCCACCTCAGTCCTGCCCAAGCTCGGTTTGGGGATTGAGAACATAGGACAGGGCCAGGGGGCCTACTTACCTGGGACCAGGGTCCGGCCCGCCACCGTCCAGGACAGAGCTCGCGGTTGCAGGCCCTGCGGCTCTCAGGTCGTGCGTCGTTGCAGTGCTTGGTGTGCACGGTGCGAGTGGTGTTGTTGTGCAGGGTCTGAACGCAGCGCACGGAGCGGACCTGCGTGCCTGTCCGCCCACAGCTCTGACTGCACGGCTCCCATTCGCCCATGATCCATCTGCCAGGGCAGAGAGGCACATGGTCAGTCCCCTGTGACCACGGTGGATAGAGGGAGGGCCTCCTGCTCTCTCAGGCACGGCCTTCCCTCGTCTCACAAAGGTGCCCCATAAGCTTGCTGCACCCTTGCCCAAGGTCCTGCAAATAACGGGCTGCCTTGGAAACATCTTCCACAGGATCAGAAGCTAGCCCTATACCCCGAGCCTCAGTTTCCCTCACCTGAGCAATTACCACTTGCTGTCCCTCAGATGCACACAGCCTCTTAGACTCCACAAAAACATGGTGAGTGACAACGAACCAATCACCCATCTCAGGGAATATGAGGCCCAGACCACCCCCGCCCCCGTGGACACAGATCCCAGACCTCCCTCCACTGCGGCCCCGGGAGGGGGTCTGCCCTCTCCTCCCTCTAGTGGGCCCCAGAGGCTGGAGCCAGGCAGCCGGGCAGCCCCAGGCACTCACTCGGGCTGGGAGCACTCCTGCGGGTTGCAGGCCCGGCGGATGGCTTTGGGCTTTGGGAAGGCGTCGCAGAAGCTGCGGTGCACCATCTTGAGGTCCAGCCTCCGGCGGCAGCCATACTTGGTGAACTGGGACCCTGAAGATGAGAGCTCGAGGAGGCTCACTGGGGCAGTGTGGCCCCTCTACGGGGTGCAAAGGGGCAGATTCACCTGCAGCTTCGGCCGTTCTTCCCAACTTTCTGGTGGGATAGTGTGCCAGGCCTTGGCGGTGTCTAGCCTGTGTCCTCCCAGCACCCTAGGGAAGTGAGGGTGAGAGGCAGGGAGAGCGACCACCTGCTCCCTGCCCCGTGGCTATCCTGGGACAGAGGGAAGGATTCATCTCCTCTCCTGTTGCTTAGCCATCTGCTCCACCTTACACTAACATGCACCGAGGACCTGGCGTGACCCAGGAGTTGGCTAACCGTGGGAACATGTCCTGTGAGTCTCCTCCCACCAGTCTAGGGCAGCAGTTCCCAAATGGGGATGACTTTGCACATGAGGACATCTGGAAATGTCTGGAACACTTAGTTGTTACAACTTGGGGAGTGTTACTCAGCATCCTACAATGCATAGGACAGCCCTCCCCACTAAGAATTATAGAGACCAGGTCACAGTGCCATGGCCAGCTGCCACAGCACCGCAGCTTAGTGAGCGAGACATGGGGGAATATGGTGGGGCAGCCTGATTCAGTCTGGGCATCTGGATGCATCACAGGAAGGAGAGGGGGAAGGCAGGGGAGGGGCCCCCAGGGGAGGAGACAGCCTGTGCAAAGGGCCTGAGGCAGGAGCATGGCATGCCCAGGAGAAGCACCTAAAGCCAGGGTGAGCAGTGGAGAGGTTAGTAAGCTGCCTGGACCTTGGGGGCCATGAGGAGAATTGTTTGTATTCTCAGAGCAGAGGGAGCTGCTGAAGGTTACGACACCAGGAGGGATATGGTCTGATCTGCCTCTTTACTAGGTCACTCTGGGGGCGAGTGAACACACAGGGCCAGGGAGGGAGCGAAGGGGTGCCAGGGGAAGATGGGAATAGCAGGTGGGTCCAAGAGATATGTAGAAGCAAGAATCAGCAGGACATGCAGAGGAAATGTACAGGGGTTGGGGAGGCTCAACAGGAGTTGGGGACACCAATACCAGGTGCAAGCACTGGAGAGAGAAGCCTTTGTCTGCCAGTGCCAGGGAGTGGGTGATCAGCGAACCCCTTTTGGCATCTGCGGGAGATCTGTCCTGGCTCCTGCTCCTGCAGGCTGAGCTGTCATCTCTGCCTCTGATCTTGTTCACCCCGCAGAAGCAGGGACCACTCTGGGCAAATCAGAGCTTCCTGTATGCCTGCATGTCCCGCCCACCTGTGAGTTTCTTGAGGTGTGGGCAGGAGGGACCCCTCTGCACCCAGCGCTGCCTGGGAAGGTCTGGGAGGCTTTTCTGAATGAACCCACCCATTTCCAGCCAGCCTACATCTTCCCTGTGCCCTGCCTCGTGATGCCATGGTAACCCATCCAACCAACTCTCACTGCAATTCCCGCCAGGCCAGCTCCTGCCTTCTGCACTGATTTAGGTTCATGTTGGCATCGACCAGACCCCACACATGCCCTCTGGCTGCTTTAGGCCTGCTGCTCTGAACACCTCCCTCCTGCTCACACTCTGCTCCCTCCCAGGCAGGGCTATGCCCTTGTCACCCAGACACAGATCACTGCCTCAACCTTCCTGGGGGCCGTCTTCTCATGCCTGGCATGTGCCTTTGGCCGGGCAGTCAGCAGGGCCCTGGGGACTCCAGAAGCCCCTCCCCTAGAAGCCCCTTCCCACCCTGAGGAGCCTCTCACCTCCACCGCAGGGCTTGGAGCACAGGGACCACTTCTTCAGGGCCCACTCATAGCCCACGGAGTCATCCTCCAGGACCTGGTTGTCATCCACGTTGAGCGAGTCCTCATGGATCATGTACTTGTACGTCAGCGAGACCCGGGTGTCTCCCTGCGGGATGACCTGTGCCCCCACACGGCCGTGAATGCGTCTGCCCCACCTCCGCCTCCTCGAAGCCAGTTCAGAAGTGTCAGTCAAGGCAACGTACAGCCCAGTCTGGGTATTCGCTGTAGGTCATCATGTTCTACAAAGTCCCCAACACTGACCCACTGCTCACAGGGTGTTAGGGTCCTGCGAGATTCCGGCCATGGCATTCTCATCTACTGTCAACATGTAACCTTATCTTTTACACGTTTTCTGTGTAAGGACCATTACTTAATACATGGTGCTAGTTCCCTGCCATCTGACTCCAGGCCAGGCCCTGTAACACAGCCTGCAAGGAGCTCCCCAACTCTGCACGGGCTCCATGGGGCACCCCACACCTGCTCACCGTGGGGAACCAACCGCCCGGAGCCTTCAGCACTATGTCTGGGGGCATTTTAAACAGTGAAACCATCCCATTAAAGCACAAACGTGTGAGAAATATGGCACTAAATACCTGTGAAAAGGACACTGGTTTATAGTAGGAGCTAAGACAAGCAGCAGAGGGTCCCTGGCTCCCCCTCAGCTGGAGCATGCATGCCACTGCTCTGCGTTTGTCTGTGGAAAGCACACTGAGTTTTTATTTGGGGATTACAGATACGTTTTTGCAAGTAGGTGAATTTACCAATGCAGAACCTGCAGGCCCCGAGGCCTACCTGTCCCTGCAGGGGAATCAATCGGAGCGCATGCCCAGGGGTGAGGTCCCCCCACCACAGTGAACTCACCTTAGTTTTATCTCTAGCGGTTTGATTTTTTTTAACAGATAAAATATATTATGTAATTAAAATTGATTTTAAAAAAGTGATTAGAAAATCAAGTCCCCCTCGGTACACCCCTAACCAGGAGCAGTCCGTGCTCATGAACTCGAAGACCTGGGGTCCAGGCCTGCTCAGGGACAAGCCCAGTGGGCTGGTGGTCTAGCATCCTGAACCCTGTCCGTTACTCCAGGGTGCGATACAACTGGGATTGGATGGCAGACATGAGGGAGCATGATGAAAGGTGCTACCAGTGTCACTCAGCAGGGAAACCAGAACCCTTGTAAGGGAGAGTGCCTGAGGTCACTGGGAGCGATGGAGGGCCCAGAACCCCAACTGCCTGTCCCCCTCTCTGACACAGGATGGACGGGCCAGAGAGGCTGTTCCAAGCATGGCCTGAAGGATGCAGGAGGCTCCATCCTTCCTCAGTGGCCACTTGCCCCCGGCCTGGGGACTTACCAGCACGGCGATGGTGCCATGAAGGGGGCCCATGGTCTGCAGCGTCTCCCGGCCATCTTCATCCCGGTACTCCCACTCCACGCCCATGGCGATGAAGGATTTGGAATTGGGGTCTATGTCGTTCTCCTCGTTTAAAATGAACTTGCCTGTCTCTAAGTTCTTGACGGCTGAAAACAGCAAAAGGGAGCGCCCACCATGATTACCAGGGGCAAGATCCAGGCACTCTGGAGGGAGGCCAGGATGGCGGCGGGGGAGGGGAGAGGGGGGACGGAGGGCGGGGGCGCACACTGGTTTGGGCAGGTGCAGGGAGTGCCCTTGCCAGACAGTCCAAATCACCTGAGAGCCGGGCTCCTCCTTTGCCACTTGGCTAGAACTTGTGCCTTTCTGCCAGGCCCACGGTCTTTTTAAAAAATATATTTTATTGATTTTTTACAGAGAGGAAGGGAGAGGGATAGAGAGTTAGAAACATTGATAAGAGAGAGAAACATTGATCAGCTGCCTCCTGCACACCTCCTACTGGGGATGTGCCCACAACCACGGTACATGCCCTTGACCGGAATCGAACTCGGGACCTTTCAGTCCACAGGCCGACACTCTATCCACAGAGCCAAACTGGTTAGGGCCCCAGGGTCTTTTCTCAGACCTGCCCCCACAGATTTTGGAGGAGCAGGGGTTCTGCCCAGAAGTAGAAACAGCTATCAAGGCTTCCTCTCTGCAGTCTATTTGGAACACCCAGCAGGCACTCAGGGCCCCTGCCTGCCGCCTCAACCCCCCTCTGCTGGACACGAGGGCACAATGCTGGGGCAGCTTCCTGCCATGGGGTGAGCATATGTCCAGCTGAAAATCAGGGTCTCCCCAGCCCATCTGTAACAGGGGCCCGGCCTGGGGCCGCACCAGTTCCCCATACCTCCCGAAGAGGCTTGCTCCTACTGGGGGCGGCTCAGGCCATTGCACAGAGTGCCTGGAGCTGAGGACCCCACTGGTCAGGAAGCCTCACGCGTCCCATGGTGTGGAGGGGGCCCTGGGGAGTGGACAGGGCACAGAGCCTCCTGTAACTCTCTGTCTACAGCACACAGTGAACCTCAGTAGGTGTCATGGGTCCTCACGTGTCACCAGCTCTCTCTCCTCTCCTGCAGAGACAGGGGACCTGGGACCTGGAGTCTTTGTTTTTTTTTTTTTTCCGGGGGGCACTGACTTTTAAGGCAAGTGCCCTTCTGTTTAAGGCAAGTGGTACTAGTTTTGCATTTTGGGTAGCAATATAAAGTTTCTTCTTAAAGTAACAACAGAAGAAAAATGACAATTAAAGGAAAATGTGCTCTGTCACGTCTCAGCAGGGATGCCAGATGGTGAGGTCCTGAACCAATCTGAGCCCCGCAGGACCGGAAGAAGGTGGGCCCCAAACTGGGGGAAGGGACTTGATCAGGATCTCCCGGCAGCCCCCTGCATCACTTCTGGGCCCTGTGACTACCCAGGAGGTTGGGCCCAGAAGCCTTTTTTGGGAGTGGGTGAGGATGGGCCCCAGGCAGCTTCAGTGAGCAGTCCCTCTGGCAGGGGGTTGCCACGTGGGAAGGGGCATCCAGAGCTGCTGGAACATTCCACATTTCAAGAGCAGTCAGAGATGTCCACACTAGACAGAATCTCAGGAATGTAGAAGTTCACGAATGGAAAATATGCAAATACACTGCCTGAGGCCACCTTCCAGGCAGGCGCTCTGGTCAGGTGTGTGGGGAGGCTACTCAGGACTCTCCTGCTTGCAGACTTGCCTGCCTCCCAGTGGGTGAAGGGCAGTTCCCGTTAGCCATAGGTGGGGAGTCATTCTTGTGGGCTTGGGTGGGTGGTGTGGGGCACATATCCCACCACAGCTGCTGCCCGGAGCCCTCTGATCCAAACGCACGGCTCTTCCACCAAAAGGTGAATCCGGAAAAGGTCCACAGCATGGGCTGAGCCAGGAACCGGAGTCCCTCCAATTGGGCCTCCCACCCCAGGGGTGCTGCCCATACCCGGTAGAGCCAGCTGTAGAATGGCCGCCTTCCTGGGCTGTGGGACTCACCCAGGTGATGGCTGGTAGTGTCCGCCTCCTGGATGAGCAGGTGTCTGGCTCCTGCGGGGATCTCAAACATCTTCACGTAACCTTGTTGGGATTCGAGGAGACAAAGACAAATGAGAGGAGAGGAGTCACTGGGGTGCTGACAAGGCATGGAGGGCCTTGCCCTCAATGACAGCTATAGAGGCCCAAGTGTTTCATGGGTCTTGACTTCCCACCTAGAAAGGCAGTGAAGGGACAGGGAGCAAGGTACCCCAGCTGGCCCACAGCCCTAAAAGGCAGGGGAGGGGTGGCCTCAGCAAGCCCCTGCCCTCAAATAGACATCTGAGACCCACCCTGTGTACCCATATTCTGGCATCTTCTGCCCTGAACCTTCGCCTGGGCCCTACTCTCCCTGTACCCCACCCACCCTGGGGCCTGGCTCAAACTGCCTGATTCAGGTTCTCCCACCACCTCACCCTTTCTGAAGAGCCATGAACCCAGACAGAGCCCCAAGCACAAGCATCCAGTGCTGTAGACCAGCGTTTTTCAACCGCTGTTCCTGGTGTGCCGTAGGTGCAAACAAGACAAGGATTTTATAATTTTTCACTATTTTGTCTACTTAATATTTCATAATAAAGTAATTATAAAATACTTTCTTTGTGTTTATTTGATTCCTATTCAAGAGAATTACTTTATATATAGTCAATATAGGCACAGAGTTAAATTTTTTAACATTTTCTAATGGTGGTGTGCCTCGTGATTTTTTTCATGAAACAAGTGTGCCTTTGCCCAAAAAAGGTTGAAAAACACTGCTGTAGACAGTCAGGCCCCAGGGCCAGGGGGGGGCTCACTCACCCAGCTTCTTAGGTGTGCGAGTGAACACGCCTTTGACTACTTTGCAGTGGCTGTTGTCCCCTCCGCACACACCACACTTGTCTTCTTGCTTGTTGGAGCCAATCACGCCATCACAGCCCACCTTCTGTGAAGGGGAAGGGGGTTGCAGTGAACACCAAGACCCTTCCCACGTGGGTGCTGGCTTGACTGTGCCCCCAGGGCATTAGTGCCTGTCCCTGGGCATCCCTTTTTAGTAGTTTCCATGCAGGGGAAGGAGACAGGGCTTTGGAGAAAGACAGACCCCACGTGCATACCTGAGGAAGTCACGTCCCTCACGCATTCACTCATCTAGACAGTATGGCTTCAGAGGGCTCAGCACAGCCTACACAGGGCCACATCCTGAGACTCCTAGTTGGGCAAGCTGGCCTCGAAATGAACATTCCTGTCCTGAGGGCTGTAACTCAGACCCGGTCTCTGTCCCTCGCCCAGGGCCATGCAGCAAGGCCCCTCCAGCAGCCTCTCCAGGGTGCCCACCATAACCTAGGCTTGGGTGCCCCAGCCTTCACATTGCCCACAGGAACACAATGCTCTCCTTAGTCTATCTTCAGGAACACAATGCTCTCCTTAGTCTATCTTCAGGTGTCTAGACAGGAGGTGACAAAAGTTGGTAGGAGAGTAAGAAGCTAGGGAAATTCCATGGCAAGTGGAATAAGGGAAATTGAGACAAAATAATTAAGGCCAAATGATTTGAGCAATTTATAGCCAGCTAATGAATCACAAGGTTTTATCTTCCCTAATCAAAGACACTTAGGAATAGTGGTTTACACATTCTAGACAATCCTTGGACAGAACAGCCTTAGTCCTGTCCCTTTTCAATTCTGGTCTTTAAAACTAACCAGATAACCCTGATCCCTCTATGCACACATTGTGATGAATCAAAACCTAGAAGGACACATCTGAAAAGCTAATGAATATTCTGTTAAGACCCTCCACTAGGATTACAGCCAACTGTAAAGGAAGATAAGAAGTCTCAAGATAAAGGAATCAGAGTACATCCACATCTTGTACCTCTGTTCCTTTTCTCCTAAACTCTAAGGGACCTCCTGGGACTTGCAACCAGGGTAGCTGTGGGCAGCAGCAGCAGCTCATCCCAGGCTTATCCCCTGAATCTATTTCCAAGGCCTCCCTTTTCACTGACTTTCTCCTATTGCTTCTCCTATCTTAAGCCTTTGTTTCATTGCCCCCAGTTTTAATAAACCTACTTTTGGCGAGGTTGCGGAGAAAAAGGAACCCTCGTGCACTGCTGGTGGGAATGCAGACTGGTGCAACCACTGTGGAGAACAGTGTGGAGTTTCCTCAAAAAACTGAAAATGGAACTCCCATTTGACCCAGTAATCCCACTCCTAGGAATATATCACAAGAAACTAGAAACACCAATCAGAAAGGATATATGCACCCCTATGTTCATAGCAGCACAATCTATAATACAATAGCTAGAATTTGGAAACAGCCTAGGTGCCCGTCAGCAGATGATTGGATCCAAAAACTATGGTACATCTACACAATGGAATACTATGCTGCCATAAAAAAGAAGGAATTCTCATCATTTGCAGCAACCTGCTTGGAATTGGAGAACATCATGCTGAGTGAAATAAGCCAGTCAATGAAAGAGAAACACCACATGACCTCATTCATTTATGGATAATAAAGAACATTATAAACTGATGAACCAAAAGATATAGAGACAGTAAAGCAACAAGCAGACTGTCAAATTATAGCGGGGAAGGTAGGGAGATCTGGGGGAGATAATAGATCAACCGAAGGACTTGTATACATGTATATAAGTACAACCAATGGAAACAAAACTCTGGGGAGGGAGGATATGTATGGGAGAGGGGGTATGGTAAGATATGTACACAGATAATAATTTAATAATAATAATAAAAACAAAACAAAACAAAACAAAAAAAACACCTGGACTCTTGTTGTGAAATCTTTCCCACATGAAGTCAAGAACTCATACACTTCCAGCAGGCCTGAGGCAGACCCGCTCCAGGCCAGACCTCATCTGGTAACTCTCTCAACAAATACTCTCAACAAAATATTCAGTGGCAAAAATTATTTCACACTTACTGGGGACCTTCCTTTTCTCAGGGGCTCCTGGTAGAGGCAGTAATAAATTCAGGTTCTTTTCTCTCTAAAGCCCTGGCAGCACACCAGTCCCAGGACCACAGAAGCTAGAAAGGGAGCATGCTCATGGCCTGACACCATTTTCATACCGATATCCACATCCACAGCTTTCCCAGCTTAGCAGGGACAGCCACCTAGAGTGTGCCGTAGCATTGCCTGCTTTCCTCTTTGTCCTGGTTGCCAGGAAGCTCGGAGCCAATTCTCCCTACCTTCACCTCTTTCTCCCACTCTGGTCTTCCATTTCTGACTTTTATCTCAAAAAGGACCTTTGAGGACAGGGACTCTAACCCATAAAAGGGCTACAGAGCAGTGGTTCATGCATCATTTTTGTATCTGTGAATAGAAGTGAACAAGTTTTGGTTTTATTGATTTATATGATCATAAGCCTTTTTGAATTAATTTTGGAAGTCAGCAGGGTGAAAACAAATCAATAAAATGAACATGTTTATTTTTATTTTAATGATTTATGTGGGGGGAAATTTAACAAAGAAAGGGAACAGGATAAACTGGGGGGAAATGGATCTTTTAAGTCATAGAAGTCTGAGCTGAAAGCATTAGATCTGCCACTTCATGGCCATGCAGTCTTAGAGGAACTCTGAGTTCGTTTCCACATTGGTGGCACGGAGTCAGAGCAGCCCACCCTGTCAGGGATATTGTCAGAGAGAGAAGAGGTGGTCCTTGTAAACAGTCATATGCTGTCTGGCCCAGAGTATGACCTCAGTGAGGGATGGAAGTGATGCTGAGGGGGACAATGGAGAGGAGGAGGATGGGAGAAAAGCCCTGTCCAGGCCAGGGCAGTTGTGACATTGTGATTTATAATAAACACATATTTGGTCTTTAGCCATTTCTGGCACAAAGCTAAACTGCTAGGAATTCTTTGTGCTGAGAGCTTCAAAGGTGCCTTTTGTTACGTTAATGAGGTGGTTTTTGGCTCATTTGAGGATGGGAAGCCCGCTACCCAGAGAACCAATCATGTGATGGGGGATGGAAGTTTCAGTCCCGCTCCTGATGTGCAGGGAGGGGCTGGAGATTGAACCAATCACCAAATGGCCAATGATATAATCAACCATATTTTAAAAATATAATAAATGGAGCTATTTTAAAATGGAGCTAGAGCTGCCACTCCATGGATACTGCCTTGGAGGTCTTCTTCCTCAGATCTTTGGAGGTTCGCTCCAATGACAGTGACTGGTATCCTCCCTCACCTGCTCCACCATCCCAATGTGGCTGATGCCCACCATGTTCCATGCTCTGCTGCCTGCTGCTGATGCCTGCTATGTCCCACATGGCAAATCTTTTTGTCCCATGCCCGACCCCTAGTGGTCAGTGCATGTCATAGCAACCAGTTGTTCAGTTGTTTCACTGTTAGTTCTATATTAGGGTTTTATATATATATAGAAATACATAATCCATGGACACAGACAATAGTATGGGGAAGGCTTGGGTTGGGGCAGGGGCTGGGTGGAGGGTGGTAAAAGGTAGGAAAATGGGAGACATCTGTAATACTGTCAACAATAAAAAAATCCCATAAGTAGCTGTATGGGCTCCTTTGCTAAGCAGCCCCATTCCTTAAAAACTGTTTATCAAATCTTAAAGCTTTAGCCACTTAAATTAACAACTTATTCCAACTATTATAAATTAACTAGAGGCCCAGTGCATGAATTTGTGCATGGGTGGGTCTCTAGGACTGGCCAGCAATTAGGGCCAGATTGATCAGGGCTGGCTGGCCTGGGAGAGGGGAATGGGGAGGGACCACAGGAGGTTGGCTGCTGGCCCCGAGGAGGGAGTGGGACCTTGGACTCCCTGAGAAAGGGGCCACATGTGCTGCCACCCATGGGCCCAGTGGGGTTGGGAGAGGAGGCGACAGTTGCCAGGCTGGACATGGAAGGGACAGACGCTGGATGCTGCTGCTGCTGTTGGTGCCCTGCCACCACGCGGTTCTTTGCCTCCCCCCCTCCTTCCCTCGCCACTGCGCCATCACCGCAGTGGGCAGGCAGCCCCTGGGGAAGGGAGAGGATGGAACTGAGACAAGCCCTGTGTCAAGGGCTGACTTTCAATAGATTGCAGCGAGGGAGCTGCTCTACTATGTATGAAACTCCTACCCAGAAGCAGATCATCTAGGAATGGTTTAGCACCAGGGGCCAAGATTGGCTGGCTGGCCAGGGGGAGGGACCAGGGGCAGTTGGCTGGCCGCGGGAAGTTGTGGGAGTGCGCTGACCACCAGGAAGCAGCTTCTGCATTGAGCATCTACCCCATGGTGGTTGGTGCACGTCATAGCGACTGGTTGACTGGTTGACCAGTGGTTTCAGTCATTCAGGTTATTTGGTTGTAATGGCTGCTTAGGCATATATATAAATTAGTGGTCTGATGCACAAAATTCGTGCACATTAAAAGAAAATTAATTAGAGGAAATATTTTAATATTGCTATTTGCCCTTTTTCTATAATGGAAGTGTCAGGGGTGAAATAAAATTAGTAAAATGTATATGAAAATCTTTCTCCTTGACCCAGAGTTAAGTCCCCGCCCACTCACGCGTGAATCAAAATTGTGTGAGACCCGGCTCCGGCCGGCCCACCCTATTGGGTGAGATCCAGACCCGGCTGGCCCCATCCCTGTCAAGCCCTGCTGGGTGGGGGTGCAGCTTCAGGTCCCCCGTCTTGCCCTTCCAGCTGGGGGCTCAGCCTCAGGTCTCCCATTAAACCCCAGCGCACACCAGGCAGGGACGCAGCCTCAGGTTCCCTGGGCTGGCACCGAAGTGGGGGTTGCGGGATGAGGTCCCACTGCCTGGCCCTAGGGTATGGGGTGCACCTTGGGGTTCCCATCAAGCCCTGTCGGATGGGGGCATGGCCTCAGGAACCCCGTGTTGGCACCAGGGCAGTGAGCATGCCTTGAGGTCACCTGTCAAGCCCCACCAGGCAGGTGGCGTGGCCTGAGGTCCCCCATCAAGGCCCGCTG